AGGGTGAAAAATTATTTAAGGAGCTCATTAGAAGATTCCAAAAATAGCCATTTCTGTCTGTTCTCAATTGAGTCAGAGATTTTAGATAAAATCGAATTTTCACAAATAATTGTGCAGTTTGCTGCGAGTAAGTCGAGAAAAATGCCATTTTGAATTCAATGAACACCTATCGACCTATCCAGTGCTACTAACACTAACCAAAGAATTTATTTGATTTCCTTAGTTTTTTTCTGTTTTGCATGTACCTGTATTTACCAATGAATCTGTTTCGTTCATTTTCGTTCATTTTCACTCTAGTCTATCATTTATGTTGTTTTTTATTGTTTTGTTATTCTTTGAGAATATGTTTTATGTTTCTGTTTTAATGGAGGAGTGTGATGCTAGTATAAATAAAAAAAATATTTTGAGTTCAATTATCAACTAGCCAAAATGCTACTAACCAAAGAATTTGTTAATTTATTTTGTTATTTTTATTCTGTTCTGTATGTACCTGTTTATATGTTATTTATATGTTATTATATGGTTTTGATACTCATTCTGTATTATATTACGTATGAACATATTTTTTCTGCGTTTCTATTTATAAGTATTAATAAGATATACCTACCATTGCATTTGCCATTTGCTTGTATTAACCTAGTAATCTTTCATGCCTTTTTTTTATCTAAACTGACAGATTTTCGAACAAGGATTGAACACAACTATTTTATGGGACAAAAATTTCACTAGTTACAGGCGCCGATTAATTTTTAGCCTCAGGCGCCTGTAACCCTTAAAACGCCCCTGATTGCAATGAGAATACTTGTAAAATTTTGAACGAAAAACGCAAGGCAATAGATAATTGATGCACGATGTTCCTTGAAAATAAAAGGATTCCCTTCCGTGCGCTCCAAGAGATACAACAATATACGGGGTGCCCGTTGTTCGAACTTCACAATGGGGATCTCAGTTATTATAAGAGATAGGAGGTCGATTGAATTAGGACAAAGTTGCGCATTTTCATGCTGAACATTTATCTGCAAGAAAATCCGATGTGTCATTTTCAGTTATTGAATTATTTGAAGAAAACGAAAACCAAAAGACCGAGACGTTTCTGACTAGGACATTCTCTAGGCACTTATTTACAGAGAATCTGAATCTGGCATTGTATTTTCCATGACGTCCTTGATGCCAAAGTTACAAACACTCAACTTTATTTTTTCTCATGGGTGCCATACTGAATTTTTGCATTTTTGAATAGCCTTTTTTTTCTGATTACAATGATGTATCACACGATATGATCGAATCTTTCCTGTTGATCAAAATTGGAAAACAAAATTTTTGCGAAGAGTGCTTTGGAGGGAACGTCAACAGTTTTGTTTAACAAACTGACTGAGCTTGACGAAAATTCAAAACGTGAACGTTCCAGATCCAAATTCAAATTAACTGTCGAAATTCAGCTTGTTAAACAAAACTGTTGGCGTTCTTTCCAAAGCACTCTTCGCAAAAATGTGTTTTCCCAATTTTGATCAACAGGAAGAATTCGATCATATCGTGTGATACATCACATCATTGTAATCAGAAAAAAAAAGTTTTAAAAAATGCAGAAATCCAATATGGCGCCCATTAGAAAAAACAAAGTTGTTACTTTGGCATCAAGAACGTCATGGCAAATAGAATGACAGATTCAGATTCCCTGTAAAAAAGTGCCTTGAGAATGTCCTATTCAGAAACGTCAAGGTGTTTTGGCTTCAGCTTGAAAAAATAAAAAAGAAAAGCATAAATTTTCGTTTCCTTCCAATAATTCGAAAACTTAAAATGACACATCAAATTTTCTAACAGATAAATGTTCAGCATGAAAGTGCGCAACTTTGCCCTAATTTAACCGACCTCGTATCTCTTATAACTGATATCCCCATGGTGGAGCTCGAAAAACGGACACCGTGTATACATTGAGAGAAATATTTTTGGGAAACTCATTGAAATGTCTTCATAATAATGAGAAAATGTATTTCCTTAGTGAGAATATATCTGTTTGAAAAGCAAAAAGTCTCTTTTTCGTTATCCTTTACAAAAAATTACATTTTACGTACTAATTTCACTACTTTTGAAGGCAAGTACTTTTCGTCCGCTGTGGTCACTATGATACGGCACGGTGCGAGAGCGGCGATTGGGAATTTCACGTGTGAATAAGACGAAAAACTGTCTATTGTCTCGCCTCAATTTGCAAGCTCGACTATAATACACAGTGTTTCGCCCTTGTATATAAATAGCTATTCAAAGCTGTTTTTTTTTTGTATTTTTTTATTGGTACCCTATTTTGCTTATTTAAAGGACGCTTCAGCTTGTTTGAATCCCACTTTCGAACGCGCGTTTTTACCATGGCAACATCATCGACCTCATAAACGTGAAGTCTGAATATCAAAGTTTTAATTACCGATTCGACAGGAGTACCATGTAACGTCGAATAAGATATCATTAAAATGTTTCGAATTATTTTTTCTAATTTTGACATGGGGTGCGTTTTTCATTCCAACATTTTATCATGCGCATGAATCGAAGCAACCATCAAACTGTTGCAAAATTCCGCTGGAATGTTAATGGACATCCATCAAACTGTTGTAATAAAATGCGCACTTTTAAATCGCATTTCGAGAATCCAGCAGTTTGGAGGAGATTGACATGACAGTTGACACATTTTAGTGTTGTTTTTTGTTTTGATTTGATAGAAAACAATTAATATTGTGGATTTTTGAAGAAAGATGTGTCAACTGTCATGTCAATCTCCTCCAAACTGCTGGATTCTCGAAATGCGATTTAAAAGTGCGCATTTTATTACAACAGTTCGATGGATGTCCATCAACATTCCAGCGGAATTTTGCAACAGTTTGATGGTTTCTTCGATTCATGCGCATGATAAAATGTTGGAATGAAAAACGCACCCAGTAATTAGCCTTTTCTGATTCTCAAGATACATGATGACTGACACACAACAAAATCCGTGTTTCCATCAATGTGTTGTATAAACCATTGTTCCAGCATAAATTCCAACAGAACAATTGGTGACGTCACGACAAAAAACCGCATCTATCAGTGCGCACTTTCTTCGATGGAATGAAAAACACGCCCATGTAATTTGACACTTTTCGAAACTGACGGAAGTTTTGAAACGTCTTACTAACTCTGTGTTTTCCTTGATCTCGCGCTCGTCCCGCAAAATACCATCGTTGCACAAAGTGACTGGTTTCCTAACAGGTTTTATAATAGTTATTTATGTATCAAGGGAATTATGAGGGCCTTAATTACCGATGGCAAAGTTTGCGTCCCGAGGGCCTCTGGCCCGAGGGATAGCAATTGCCTGAGGTTATTGAGGCTTAGTAATTCCCGTGATACATAGATAATTTTATTTCTGACTGATTCATTCATTAGATACCTTCCCGATTGGAAGTTAGACATGTTTTTCCGTATAGTTTCAATGTCATCAGAACGTCAGATGATGATCTTGACTACCGCGAATAGGAGATTCCTTATTGCTACGTTACTGCGTGGTTGTTGCTATGCATTTCTTATTTAATTTTAGTTAGAGGGAATTATAGCATCTATAACATCCCAAGGGAGTTATGACCCTCATAATAGATATCGTAACTATGACGATATAAGCTTATAATGACACTGTCAGAAATAAATATCTATTCTTCTCTTTTTCATGACAATGAAAGGTATACTGATGTCACTTCGGATGTCACATTACATCAACCATTTTACATTATTAGTTGTTATTTCCATTCTTTGGTTTGGAATGATAATAGGTACCGATATTTATGATCTCAAAGTGTACCAATAAAATACTTGAATATCATTTTCTACTTTCAAGAAATGAAGAGTTACCTACAGGGAGTGGTTTAGTGTGATCGAATGATTGAACCAGAAATGAACCTGAAGGAAAACTCTAATGGCACAGAAAAATTCAGATGGAATTTGGATTTTCATAATTTTCATATATGTTCATTATAATCCTTATCAAAGTATTTCATGAACTCTGACACTACTATCAACAGAAACCTAGAGATCAACATACTAAGAGATCCTATCTTGTAAAATTTTTGTTAGTAGAGTGATTCTTCCAACAAGGAAATATACATTCTGATTAAAATAACTTCATATTTTTTTATGATAATTTATAGGTATAGGTGATTCATATAATTACAATCACAATCATGTTTTGGAGGTAGACAATCATCATCTATAGGATACTATAGTTGGTATTATCAGCCATTGATAATTATTTGAAAGAACATGAACACAGATGGTTTGTTAATCTGTGACATGAGTATCTATATATTATGTATAATTGACAAACCAAGGTCTCTGCTGGTACCTAGTCCATATTATTCAATCTTCACTCTCTATAGACAATATCAGGCACCTATTTGAAAAATAAATAAGATCAAGTAGGTATTTGAGGATTCTAATTGATTACCACTCTGAATTCTTCAGAATGTGAAGATTTCAAAGAATTCTAGAAAGATTTTTTGACAATGTGTCCTTCCTTTGAATTGATTGTTGAACACTTTGCAGAATCTAGATATGATAGAAAATCACTAAATTGATAGCTAGACTTGGATAAATGCTACCAAAAAACTTCTCTGGAATTAATACATTAAGCAATAATGGCATATTGATTACAATAAAAATAGGAATAAAACAATAAGTAATTCATGCACAAAAATATTTCATGTAGGTAAATGCCGATTTATTGTAATAAAGTAGGCAGACAATGGGCAGACATATGAGAACTAAGAATGGCAAAATATAGAATAGAATATCTGTGGACAGTGCTGGTGCTGCTATCCGGTTGTTTGGTTACCCAAATTTCCCATAATTTTACTTAGTTCATACTCGTTCATACTGTTCATATACCTAGTTGAATTATCATGCAAAGAAAATGAATACTTCCTGTAATAATAATCAATAATCCACGATAATCCAATACAACTAAAATACAACTAACAGCAACTAACCTTATAATTATCGAATCCAATCAAGTGCTCCTTGGTTAAATATTCTCTTTCCATTTTTGTGGATGTAATTTCAAAAGCCTGTATATGTGAACCAATTATTTATAAAATCATAATACAACTTAAATGCAGAAGAGGCTCTTTATCATGTACATATTATTGTTTATAAAATACTAAGCCTGATGACTACTACCTACTACTACTAATACTAGTTTCAAACACAAGTTGAATATAAATCATCAATGCACTTCGAACTATCGAACTGGATCGCGATAAACTATGGGACGAACCACAATCTACAAATACGAATCTTTCGATAAGTAGTTTTGATTTTTGATTACAAAACAACATAACCTACAATGATTCAAATCAAATGTCAACGTCAGTTCGTCTACTTTAAGTTCTACTTCCTATTTTTATCATACAAGCAGAATGGGTCATAGGCTCCTAGGACCACCAGTGGCAACAGCCCATTGCATCAATTCACACACTTCATTTACCCGACACAGTCCATAGTCAGGCTGTTGCTGAAAGCTGAAATCAAATCGATAATCGATCTTCAAAGCTGTCAAAGCGGCATGTTTACTTTGTTTTCATTGGTTCACATCTGATTTTCGTTTGTGTTTATTGGTCATCATATCATCAAAACAAACCGCTCAGAAGTGTTCAAAATGCTGCCGTCAGGTGGGGCGACGTGTTATTTTCTATCGCGAATTGGGTTTGTTCTCGTTTACAATCGGAGTAAGATGGCTTGTTCCTGGGCAGAAACAGGCAGAAAATAAGCGTATGCCACCCATATACGTATTAATAATCAATACGGATAATCTCTATCTGTTTCCATAGCGAAACATGAAGACAAATGACTGTCCATAAGGAAAAGTGAGATACGATCAGACACATACTGCTTTGATTGGAAGGCTAGTAAACGTCATTGTCCACCTAAACGCATGTCTTTGATGACTACTATAATAGCGCATGGCGCATGCGTATCATGCCACCAAATCCTTATATATATATTCATTTGTTTCATATTTTTGGCTTCATCCTGGCCCCGTTATGATCCGTATTGTTTATTAATACGTATATGATGCCACCTATCGGAGTCCTTGAAAGCTGTCAAAGCTGGTTCACATTTGTTTTTTGTTTGTGGTCATTGGTGACATAAAGGTTGACATAGTTGACATCATCAAAACAAACCGCTCAGAAGTGTTCTTCAACTTGTTGCCGTCAGGTGGGGAACGTGTTATTTTGTATCGCGAATGGGTATTTGACGTTTTACTGTCACATTCACACACACATAGAAAACACCGAACTTGACAGGCCAATCAGATTCAAGCGTCAAGTTTGGTGTTATCGATAAGCCGAACTTGACTTGAGCTTCTGATTGGTTCATTTGATAAATGCGTGAAGTTGAAGTAGTTTCTGATGATGAAATTGTACCAGCAATACGTATTGCTGCTATGAAGATGGGTCTGTCCGGCGGTCCATTTCCACAGATTAACAAACCTTGATCTGTACCATTTCCTGCAATGCAACGGAAAATTACGACAGCTGTCCGAAATAACTCTAGTATGCGAATTGCTGCTCTTATATTTTTAATATTTTCGTTAATTTTCTTGTTGTTTTAATATGAATCATTTATTCTTTGAATGAAATTTAAGAAAAATGTTGTGCTCTGAAGGGGGTCAAGTACCCCCTATACCTCTCTTTTTCGGATAATTGATATACTAGGTACCTATCAATATAATTCATCTTTTTCAACAAAGTATAGATATGGAATAAAATTGTTCAAAATAACTATCCGGTGAGCTCTCAATACCATAATATGTGCTTCACGACAAAATATGACCTCATCACCTTCCTAATTAGGTACTGCTATTGTCTATAAGTATTGGATTTTATCGACTTTCTTTAGCCTCATTTATATTTTTCATTGTATTTTCTAGAATTTCATGTCTAAACATGTACATTATTGTACATACCTTGGTATTACTGGCTCATCTAACTGAACACTCAGTCCATCTTGTGAATGATATTTTTTCTATGCAAATATTTTTATTATAGTACGTCATAGGTATATACATATATAGTTTGGGTATAATTTGTGAAGAAACTACAAGAGGTTTTAATTTTTTTCCATGGCTCCCTTTTAATCGTTTTTTAATCTCCTCGAAAATCAACTTGCCTTGAGAAAATACACCAAAGACATAATGTAACTGGTAACACATTATAAAGAAGCACGACCCCCTGTAACTCCTTTATTTTTGACAGTAAATGAAAAATAAGAAAACAGACTCACAGGGGATTTCATTTCCTTCGATCTCTTCACCCTATATATTTACCTTCTTCATTTCTTAATTTATCATGGGCATTCAAAACTTTAACCAGAGTTTGATCGATTTTTGAACGATTTTCATGACTGATTGCAAATCCAGGATGATTCTCATATTGGGGTGATCACTGAAAATCATTATTGTAATCATAGACAAGGCCTACTCTCGAAAATAATCCAAAATCGATCAAACTTTGTTAGTTTTTGAAAGCTCATATTATGAGAAACACCTACAGAAGATAAATAAATATATTGAGTGCGGTATTTTTGGAAAACTCTTCCCAAGGTTCTTTCTAATGGTGGGGAAATATATAGGGTGCTATATATATTTAAGATTCATACACTTTTTGCTAATTCCTGTATATTTTTCTGATATCAAAAATAAAAGAGTTATAGGGTGTAGTACTTTATAACATATCTCGAGATGCATAGATTGAAAGAACCTCTCCTGCAGCAATTTCTATTCAGTTTTTATACTTCGAACCATGTATATGTATAACTCACTTTCATGTCGACTATTGTTTGCCGTTTTCTTTTATTGCAGAGATTCCTGAACAATTCTAATGGTTTCGACTATAAAAATAAACCTTATATCAACAGCAGAGTTATCTATGGAAAATCCTAAAAATAGCATATCGGGGAGTGGTGATAGTTATCAAGCATTATGTTCCATGTTATCCATTGAATATCATGGATGGGTGGTTAACCCAAACCAGAATATTACATAATCATCAAAATTCGTCATAGTTAATGCGTGTTAATGTTTATCTTGGCAATGTAAACTTACCTGTGGCTGTGGCTTTTGTTGATTTTAGCAGACTAAAAGATTAGAATACAGTGTTGAATAAGAAAACCCTGCTTATTGAATTTGTAGATATGTTACGCTCAGTAGTCGATTTTGGGCAATGCCCGAATTGAGCAACGAATATTTCCCAAACCCGAAATTTCAACAGTATATACTGTTAAAATACGGTTATGGCGCGTTACAAAATGAGTGGAACTAGTCTTGAGCAATTTGAAATGTACAGGGTGGCCAACTAAGAATCCAGAGTTCGATACCTCTGTTGTCTTGAGAGATACAAAAAAAAGTTTCGCATTCAAATTAAAGTGATAACCGAGCTTCACATTTCAAAATTTCTTTGAAATACACAGGGTGTTCCGTAAGGTCACAGCACATCAAAGCTATGTTTTTTTCATTAGAACACCCTATATTTTATTTCATTTTTGAATTCTCCCTGGAGATCTGATTTCAACGACCCATCATACTTAGGGTCTAGCAGTGAAAGTTAATGACATATAGGGTGTGCAAAATCGAGATTTTCCAAGTTCAGGATTTTTTTCTGTCGAAACTGTTCATTATTCGTCAAAACGGTTTACATGTCCCTATCTCAACTTTTCACTCACTATCAATTGGTGTTCAATTGACATTTAATTAAAACAAATATATAAATTTAGATTTTGTGACCACCTTGTATCAATTTCAATTGAACACCAATTCATAGTGAGTGAAAAGTTGAGAAAGGGAAATGTAAACCGTTTTGACGAATAATGAACAGTTTCGACAGAAAAAAATCCTGAACTTGGAAAATCTCGATTTTGCACACCCTATATGCCAGTAACTTTCACTGCTAGACAATAAGTATGATGGGTCGTTGAAATCAGATCTTCAGGGAGAATTCAAAAATGAAATAAAATATATGAAACAAACATAAATTTGATATGCTGTTACCTCATGGAACACCCTGTATATTCCAAAATAATTTTGAAATGTGCAGCTCGGTTATTACTTCATTTTGATATCTGACTTTTTTTTGTATCTCTCAAGACAACAGAGAAATCGAACTATTAGTTGGCCACCCTGTACAAAACTAGTTCCATACATTTCTGAATGAATATATTTTTTAGGAATAAGGTTCATTTAGGCCGATTTAGGTTAGATTACTAACTCTGCTACTTTTTTTGTAATGCTCAATAAATGTACCTATACAATTAAAATTTTGGGTTTAGGAAATATTCGTTGCTCAAAACTAATTTTGCGTTTTTTTTTTCGGGCGTTGCCCGAAATCGACCATTGAGCTTAACCAGGTACAGAGCGAGTCACCATAAATGCCTTCTCCCCCCTCTAGCTCGCTCATTTTTAAACCGATTTCAAAATTTGAAAAAATTATGTGAAATGATTTTTCAGAAACTATTTTTCCGCTACATCAGTAAATACAGGGTGCTCGGAACAAACGATCTACTGGGTACTAGTTGTTTTTTTTTTTCAAATGGATCACCGTGTATTTCATTGCATTTTTAGATTCTCCCTGAAGAGCTGATTTCATCAATGTATCAAACTTGGGGTCTAGCGGGTATTATTATAGAGACATAGGGTGCTCAAAATCAAGATTTTTCAACTCTAGGATTTTTGTCTCTAAACTATTCATTATTGGACAAAACGACTCACATGTCCTTATCTCAATTTTTGATTTCCTATCTACTGACATTTAATTGGAACAATACAGAGTGGTTCAAGATTCGGAATTCTGATTACCCTGTATCTGTTCCAATTATTAATACTTTAGACCCAAAAAAAATCCTCAAGTTGAAAAATCTCGATTTTCAACACCCTATATCTCTGAATAAACTGTAGATCCTTCGTTCCTGTATTTTCTGATGTAGCGGAAAAAATAAACAAAAAAAATAAACATAAATAATTTCAAATGATTCTTCAGATTTTTGGATCGGTTAAAAAATAACTGAGCTAGAGGGAGGACATGTATGGTGAATCTCCCAATACATTGAGGCAGAGATTATACGTGTATAATCTCTGATTGAGGTGTGTTGAGGTAAAGATTTGGCGGATGGAAAAAACTAAAAAATAATAACAGAAAAAATATGAATGAAAAATTCTGATCAATACTCATCCTAAGGATGAAAAGATCCTCAATAATTGCATTCAGAGGCT